GGGGGGGGGGGGGGGGCCACCCATAGAGGAGCATGTCTGCATGGCTTGACTCGTCTTGCCTTGTCTGCCCACCCGCTACTTGCTTGTCCCTATCCCGACGGTCATTGCATAAATCAGTGCTCCGAGACGAGCCATTGTCAACTCAGCCATCGAGCATCAACACTACGCATATAGGGATGGTTGTCTAGCAAGCTGCTGTACGGAGTACTGTGTACGGTATCGCATCTCAGGAAGTCTCATTGAAGAAGAAACGCAAATGCCTCGTGCAGCTACTGTACAGTGCTCGCGTTCTCGACTTCTCCCTTCCTTCTCTTATCTCATCTCATATCATCTCACCTCATCCAATCACCAAGGGCTGCCCGTCCAAAGACAAATCTCACTAGGTCTGCTGTTTTTGCCTCGATTGCCGGTCGAGAGCGAGGAGCTTCAACCATCGCGGCGAAATCCGTCATAAATCTTTGACGGGCGGTTGATCGTCCCCATGGCTGACAGGTGGCGCTGCGGGATTTCCTTTGATGTCCTCAGAGGTCGAGAAAACCAGTGAGATTGTGCGTGCCTCAGGCGGAAGGCGCCGAGTGGTTCTGTGGCGTCTTCGTTCCTGGGAAGGGTGCCAGCAGGGCTGTGGGGTGTCTGACTCGGCATTCCTCCATTCATCTGCTTTTCACAACGGCAGTCTTCCTGTCTTTGCCGGGACATTGCCGTGGAGGAATGAGGCATCGACAGCAAGTTCGGTGAGGAACGTCGGCGTCTCGAGGCTGGTTCTGGTCTTCGTTGCGCCCAGTGATACTCTCGAATGCGTAAAGAGGCCTTCTGAAGTCGCATGGTGGAAAATCCATCATCAGGCCTGCTTTCGAGGTTGAAGGCGGCCACGAATCTCCATTCCATTGGCTGATGCCCGAGAAACCGAAGTCTGTCTTTGAGACGTAAGATTGCCTCAGGCAGAGGACAGTGCTGACCTGGGCAGCCCTTCCAATAACCAGCGTCATGCTACCGACAACACGGTGATTGATGGTGTTAGATTTGGCTGAGGTAACACTTTGTCATATCTTGAGCGATGCAGATCATTCATCCCTGGGCAGAGAATTGGGGGCCAAAGCCGGTCGCTGAGGCCTTACTTTGCGCCAATGATGAGGACGGAAATACGAATGGTAGGGGAGACCGCGACGACGTTCTCGAATCCAGTCTCGTGGTGGTCAGGCCATCTCTTGAGAAAGAAATGATCATCCATATATTCTGAAAGCTGGAAACTTTCAGGTTGGTTGCGTTGTGATGCTTACATGCTCCATCTTGTGATGACAGCACCCTCGGAACAGTGACGGCCCTGGTCGATGGCATGGATTTCTGTAGCGATCTTCTAGCAGGCTTGATAGTACCGATCTCTGAGAGTGCATGGATGCGGCTTTGTCGCAGATGTTCACATTGGGTCTTCAAGTGCGATGGAACGGACGATGCGGAGCTGTGGGCGAACAGTTTTGAGTATGCGGTGAAGAGGCGCGTTGGTGTCTTCGCAACATGGTGCTAGTCGTGACTCCAGGGCAAAACAGACGCCTCTCGAAACCATCTCTTGTATGAAGCTCGAAGAACCGGTGCGTGCCTGCGACATCAGGTGTTTTCCTGCTCTGTAGCCTGAGGGGCCTCGTTCCAGTCCATGGCCGGCAAGTCCAGATCAATCACAATGGGCTTGTGGAATCTCTTCCCATTTTTGTGCGGAAAGTTGGACGCCATGAATGCCGCATTGACAATGCAAGTCTCCTCCCTCCCTTCGCGACCAAATAGCGCTTCTTGGTCAGAACGAGGATTCGATGCTGGACCGCCCTGACCAAGTGTCCCTAGATGTCTTATATGAGCATTGTCTGCCCTGATTGGAGCAGGTCGTTCGGCTTTTTCAAAATCAGGGAATGGAGATGTCGACGGACGTGGTATATCCGGCAAGACAGCTTCGCCGCGGTCTTGCCCCTGTGCAGCGAGCTCCAGCTCGTCCGCCGCATCACTAGTCTGATCGTCTGTTGTATCGGAGTCGTGCTTATCGATCACGGGGCACTCGGCAGGGCCGTCGACTTCGACGCCTCGAAGCCTGCAGAGCTCGCTGGGTGGAACGAGATTGCCACTACTCCCATCGTTCTTCAGGGCCAGCGACTTGGCCCTGAAGGTCAGATCAACTTTGAACTGCTTCTTGGAGCTTGGCTCAAGGTCAGTGCATTCTCGCAAGCTGCGCTCTTTGAATCTGACGTTGAGCGAAGACAGGTCCCAATGCACTATCTCCACGCCATACGCCTCATGAATATGCCCGCACACAAACAACCGGGGCCGGACTCTCCACAGTGTCTGGCGAAGCATTTCGCATCCAGCGCTGCCGCGCACGCCACACCCATCACGATGGTACTTGGCAGGTGTATGTGTGACCACGATGTCCGAGTCTAGTGGGATCTGGTCCCACAACTGGGAAGCGGATTCTGTTGAATATCCAAATGCCCAGAAGCCATGTGCCGGTGAATATGGCGATCCAAAGACCTTCAGCTTCGACTGTTGCCCGTCTTCGTGTACGATGGTTACTTGCCTTGCTTCGTGATTCAGGTAAATGATGGATGGATCTGACTGGAAAAGCTCCCTGCAGCGCTGAGAGTCTTCCATCCTCCTATGATGGAAGTATCCCCCGTACTGCTGGTAGAACTCCTCATCGCAAGTGATATCGTGATTTCCACAGACAATGATCTTGACCTTGAACTTCGACTGCTGGATCCAGGCGACAGTCTTTTGCAGCTCCGAAAACGTGCCTTGATTGCTCAGGTCGCCTGCATGGATGAGAACGTCGCCAGGAGGTAGCTTTGGAGTTTGGTTGTGGGTATCAGATATACAGACGATGCGGGTCCGTCGGGTGGTCATTCTGCGGAATAATGATACAGACGATAAGAGACGAGAAATCCTAGTCCGCAGACGAATGTGCCTATTGTGTCTATTCAATCACGTGTCATCCACCTGTGCAAGGCAGCCGCGAGTGACTCATACCGCAGCCTCGAAGGGCTTCCATCGCACCTTGTCCGTTGCTCGCTCTCCCTGCTGCGACATGGCTCCTGACCACGATCGACAAGGCCTCGGCGATACCTCGAGTGGCAAATAGAGGGGGTTGTGCATAGCGCGAGGTGTGTCCCTTGCAGTAGCTCACGACGCAGTCATGCATATCCGAACACCGGCGCGACGCGCAAGGAGGATGACACGCTTGGAGAACTGTCCACCACAGATCAACAGTAGCTGCAGTGGCCGATCCTGCTGTTCGAAGGACAAGGTAGGCAAGGATAGGGCGACGACTGAGCGGCTCTCGATCGCCGACGATCTGCGTCCATGGTGCTGGATGGCGTGCGAGGGTGATTGTGGGCGGCGGGGACGAGGAAATAGGGGTGCGCCCTCGATGATCAAACAGGTGTGAGGGTCGCTGAGGGCGTTTTCCTTTAACTGGGATAGTGGCCATTAGTCTGTTTGAACTGGTGGATTGGCAGCTTGGGTGAGATGCCTACCCGGTACCGAGTCGAATCAGCAGCCCCGGCCTGGCTGTCTGTGCCCATGGGAGAAAGGCGACGCGAGCAGAGAGGCATGCTCCTTGGAGCATCACATTCTCGTCACATCTCTTCCGACGCGTGCTAGAGAAATGAGGCAGATCTTGGGGCACGGTACATTAAGTAGCAGTAGCCACACCGTCGTATTCTGCTCTCCTTCCTCGCCCAATGCTCCGTCCGGTGAGGACCCCAGCACTCGAGGATTTCGAAGCTCGCGGACGACCAGGAAATGGTGGTGAGGGAGCTGGCGTAGGCGGTTTCAGACACAAGCGAGGCCGAGGGGAGATTAAGGATTATCAGATGAGCAGCTGCTCAACGGATGGACAACCTCGCCGCCCCGACTTCACCTTCTGCCGCACCTCGCACACATCAACATCCTCATCATTCTCTGCCATACTATACACTAGATACCGCGTCAGCCGGCCGTCATGAGCCTGATGGTTGCGTCACAGAAGCATTCTCGCAGGGGCCTCACCACCCGCGTCTGTATCCAGCCCGCGTCGCAGATGTCAAAGATGACTTGACTTTTCGCCCGCCACTCCGCAAGAAGCCCAAATTAACAGCCCATGCCACACCGACACATTGGTCACCTGGAATGCGCAGGCTAGTTGGCATTTCCAAAACCACCAGTGTCCCTTCCTTCAACAGTCGCTCCCTCAACGAGGACCCCGAACCCGACAACGACGAACGCCGGCCGTCTTCCTCTTCGGGCATCATCCAATCCTCCGCCCACCCCTTGCGGCGCACCAACTCGAACTCGCTCCCGCGCTCCCCGTCTCAGAAGAGACCGCCCGCATCCCATAGCAGCTACGGCGTCGAAACCACGTTAGGCCCACCTCCCTCGTACAGTACTCAGCGAACGCTCTCGCAAGATCGAATCCGACTTGATCGAAGTGCAGCTTCACGATCTGCAACCAGTCCGACGTGCGAAGAATCCCCTACCAGAAACAAACGCGACTTGTCTCCTCCCACGTCCCAGCGCGATCCATCCCCCTCGACGCCAAATGATCGATCCGCGTCGCCCGAACCCACTCCCGTGCGACTATCACCCGTGAAAACCGACGCGACACCCTCGACAACCGCGTCTTCTGCAGACGAGGCCTCGGCCCAGGACGTTTCGAGCCCGGAGACGGCAGAAACGGGGAGTGTGCTTACGCCTAGCTCCGCTATCAGCAAAGAGTGCGCGATGCCGACCACTGACGCGCCCAGTTCGCAGGAGAAGGAGAATACAGAGCCCTGTCCGTTGCGACCAGCGCCCTCGGAGGAAGAGAGCAAAGGATCTAGCAGTGACGAAAAGAAGAGCGAGGATCTGTTTTTGAACATCGCAAAGACGGACGCGTCGCGTAGCGGTGGGCAAGGCCAAGGCAAACTCGAAAAGAGACGGTCGCGAGTTTCGCTTCCTTTCTTCAGCAGCACCAGGCCTTCGACCGGATACAAGTCGTCCCCAATCCAGGAGCGGTTTGATACTACTAGCGTGACTGGTCGATCGGAGGCTCTGAACTACTACAGCAAACGCTCTTCTCTCGGGCAACATGTGCCAGGCGCATTTTCGCGGACATACACGCAGGACTCTGCGCTCCGGACTGGTGGTCTCGACGCGCAAAGCTCTCACCCTGCCGATGCGCCCCGTAGGACCTTGTCCAGGCGATATTCCAACAGCAATTCAAACACGAACACCAATACTGAACCGGCTCGCACCTTTTCCCGTCCGAGCACAGCACGCAACAGCCGCCTGGTCTCAGATGGGGGAGCCTTTCTTGATCGCCCTCGAATGCCTGACCACAACGCCACGGAGTCGACCATTTCCACAACCGCACCCTCGACCGTATGGGATGAGCTCGACGATTTGAAGTCGCGCATCAAGAAACTAGAATTGACGGGGAAATTGCCCCCATCCTCCGCCGCGGCAATGAGCACCTCTGAGAGACCGAAAACCGCCACCACCGCAGCAACCACCATGTCCTCTTCCCCGAAGCACAAGCCGACAGCAGTGCCCCAGCTGACATCCGCTATTGAGGGGATCCCATCCAATATACACCCGAATCTCCACGAGGCACTGGGCAATGCCAAAGCCGTGCTCAGCAACGAGGTTTATCAGAAACTACAGGCAACTGCACAGGATGCGTTACAATTGTCCATGATGATGAACCCGGAAGCACACAATGCTGGCGCAAGTACTGTCGGCCTCTCTGCCATATCTGAACGTCAATTACGGCGTCGAACAGAGAGTATGTGCAGGAGTCTGACGGAGCTGGCGATTGCCATTCTGGCAGATAATAAGCTGCCCCAGCAACCTGTAACCAGACCTGGCAGTCGAGATGCTTACCAGGCCTTACCAGGACTGCGAAGCCGTCGGTACAGCAATGAGCCCAACGACCGACCTCCCGTTGCCTCTCGAGTTCAGTCCCGTCTCGAAGCTCGACGTACAAGCGCACAGCTCGGACCTGCATTGAACACTCATGCAGCACCACCCGAAACCACGTATCAGACACCACCTACTGCGCTTCCGCCTATGCCCACATCTTCCTCATCACGTATGGGCCGGACCACGTCACTGGTTCGCAGCAGGCGGACTCCCGGCTATAATATGGACGGCGCTACCGACGATGAGGAGAGCAGTCCTTCTGTCCGTCCCGTTAGCCGAGCGATGACCGAAGTGAGTACGTATCGCCAGGCTGCAAGAGATCGAGCTGCGTACTCGAGAGAATACACCGCTCAGCACCCGATGCCTCAACACCCCATACCTTCCACAGCTGAGCCCAACTCTGCAACCCGAAGCCAGCTGCCGGCGCACATCAGCACTCATCTCGTGCCCAGACGCAAATACGGGAATCTCTCGTCTAATACGAGCAACGTCGGCCATCAAGATCACACTCCCGTGACGCCGAAGGAGCCCTGGGGCCGGATATCGATCGTGCCAGCCGTCAGTTCCAGCCCGATTGAGGCCACACCCGAGAGCCAGATCGCGCCACGACCGTCAAATACGCGGAGAAGCCTGGGGTTCACCAGCAGAATCAGCAGCGTAAGCAGCCGATTGCGAGCAGCCAAAGGAGAACGAAATGTGAGCATGAGAGACACACCGGAAGCGCGAAGCTCCCGGGACATTGCACCATCAGGACAAGGATTGGACAATAGTGCGCCATTGGAGAGACACAGCTCTGGCCAGAGCATTGAACCCTGACAGGATCACGATGAATTGTCACCAGATTGTATCATACTTGTACAGCTGAATAGACAGAAGGCAGTCCTTCTGATCGCTCCATCAGACACCAGCAGATTTTGAGCTTGGACGGGTCCGGACTGAATACACGGGCCACTTGAAAATGATAGCGTTCTTTCCCCGTGGAGTTATGGTTCCTGAACACGCTGGGTAGATGATCCTGTCGGATTTGCAGTGCCGCGGCCACGTAGTTCCATGATTGGACCGCATCAGAGCAGGAGCCGGCTTGATTTGACGATCACGGACCCAATGAATGCTGACACATGCGGAGGCATCATTGAGGACGGTGAGGACGGTGAGGACAAGTCCACGTGCAGCGTTGAGTTTTCCTCGTGCAGACGGCCAAGAAGAGCAAAACTCGTCTCGCACCAGCCAAACAGGACGAACCACGAGTGCGCGATCATGCCATTCTATGGCCCACGGACTCGCAGTGAGATCGTTGATTTATGACTAACAAATACTGCGACAGTGCGGATTCTGGCACTCCCTGTGGCTACACTTTCGGCACAGCACTGGCATCATCCTGCTCGACGGCAGCGGTGGAAACACGTTTGCCTGAACACGCCATTCGCAACGGTTCTTGAGCAATGCCTAGTGATCGAAACTGGCAGCGGAGACAAGAAGAGCGCCTTAAAACGGGCCCCCTGTGAGCAGGTTGAGTACCTTTAAGCTTTTATTCGTGCCTTTCATGTCGCAATATCCAATCGACATTGCATGTTGTCTGAGCAATGAGTCTTTGTCCTCACTTTCCGGCTGGTCTGCCAAATCCGATACCGCTCCATACTGCCCGCCCACGACCAAAAGATATAAGGTACGTGGCATGACATCGGTTCTCGAACTTCTATGCTTCTACTTATCTTCCTCCAGCACAGGAACAGGACTAGGGAAGAAGGATCCCAGGCTCACCAATCCCGCCAGGCAGCACACGTAAGACACCGGGGAAGGCAGATCCATTCCCTTGTCACTACGTGGTACCTGTGGAGAAGACGAAACACCAGTGACATCAAGATCCCGGTGTTACTGTGCATTTCTCGGCCATCTGCATTCGTCCAGTGGACAGCTGATCCCGTTCACTGCCGCCGAGCCAGTGCAGACGTCCTGGACCAATATACCTGACGCCGGGGCATCGCGACACCGTGCCCTTGCTTGCGAAGTTTCCAGTCCAGGCCTCTGGTACATAACCTCCGACCCGTCTCAGGGCCTTTCTTCACCCGTCTGGCGACACCAGGCAGATATCTCGTTCAAAAACCCAGCCATGGCTGCTCTTCATCACCCGACGTCCCGATCGTCGCCTGAGAGCCCCCAGTCGGCGGATTCCAGTTCCGGCCGCTCGTCAGCGACCGAACGAAAGGGCTCTTCATCCTCCACACATTCAACACCACCTACCACCCCGGGTAGCTCCCCCAGGGTCCAGCTGGTGCCGTATGCCCGCACGGCCAGCTTTGACATCTCGTTATCAGAAGCCGAGCGGGAGCTGGTAGACAAGATGGCCACGCAGTTCGATGCACTTGACCTGTCGTCGAAGGACTTTGACTTTGACGAGATCTTCACGTACGACAAGCCTCAACGGAAGCTGACCAAAGGAGTGGTTGAGGTGTCAAGCCCGACACGGACTCAACGGGACTGGTCCTCCTTTTCCTTTTCACATTACTCGGCAGCCATGAATGCCAGAAACAAGGTCAACCACAAGGTGAAGCCCAGCATCGGCGAAATGTATGTGAAGAAAAAACCGCACGGGAGCGCGTATTGATGGGGAAGGAAGTCGGCGCAGATGAACCAGCAGCAGAGTTGGCGTCACGGCCCGGAGGATCCTCTCGTTCTCACTTCATGTGCCTCTCATAGACTATATCTTCAGAGAAACCTACCAATTGCATTCACGACGGGATTTGGATAGCAAGGACCACCAAGCATGATACCCAGCGGCGTCTGGGAGAATGAAGAACAAGAATGAATGAAGATGGTTTTAAAAAAGCCCCACGGCGTCCTCCAGGAAGATAAAAAGGGAATGGCATCACAGGAACGGCGACTGGAGCATGGATTCTTCGAACATGGCTGCTGTATGTTGGGATGCAAGGAACCGAGGGATGGTACTGGTGTACCGGGAAATATATAGTTGACAATCTCACTCACCCACGATGACCAGTCTTCGATGGAGCTCGCATGGGATGAGCTCCGAAGTTCCAACATCGACTCGTTTGTCGAAGTAGTGGCCATACCGCTAGCCAGTCAGGCAGGCATCGTGATTTCGCTTGCGCATGCGCCCTATTTTCAGTACGTGCTGGGGCAGCCAGCCGCACTCCATGCGAGGAACGGACGGCCACGTTTCTGTTGTTCACTTCCGCGTCCTCGCCTGCTGCTCTTCGTCGGTAACCGAACACGAAGCCCTGCGGCTATAAATGCTGCCGCAATGGTAGACGGCCGATCATCGCCCACTTGAAGGCGATGCCCCATGATGAGACCGCCTGCCTGATGGTGGAAAGACGCCGGGAAGATGACCTCATGGACAATATATCCAAATCGCCGCTCGTGCGGTATCAAGCTGAGAAAGAGGCAGGAAAGCGCCCCAACGTCTGTAGTTATTCTCAGGTACTCCTGCATAGAGCAGCTTGTGACGGGATGCCATATTTGGAAGACACTTCTGTAGCCTGCTATGTACGAGTACATTTACGGTCAGCCTCGAGCGCGGGGCGCTTGTTGCTTTGGGGTGTAGCAATCTGAAACGCCAGGGCAATCTTGCAGGTCTCATGCGCCGACCCTGATGCGCTGGTTCCTTTATTCTACCCAGGGCGACAGAAAGTGTCGGGCATACACGATGCCACCGGCGCTGTGTTGTTCGAGACCCTCGAGTCACAGCTGTGCAGAGGACTATTGACTTCTGAGGCAACAATAGCTTCTCGTCGGTAACAGCACGATATTATTGCCGTCGCGAGTCCAGGGTGCCCGAGTCAAGACCCCGGGCATGCCTAAAGGGCCCCTCGTCCGCTTCCGGCAGCGAGAGCTCCAGGCGGCAAATTTGTTTCTAAAATAAGTTCGCCTGGGGCTGCATGCGTTTCAGGCTTGTGGCTCGATCCCTGACGAACCAATCGCCGGCGGGGGCTGCCACGGCCCTGATCTGGGCCGCCCTGGTGATTCGCCTGTTGCAGCACACCTGGAATCTTGTCCAAGCGCCGAGGGAGTCCTTGTGCAGGGAAGCGCTGACTGGGCAGACAGCGAGGCCGCCGGGCAGGAGTGTTGCTCACCCGATCCTGACATGCTCACTCACATCCTTCTCAGCAGCCAGCACGGCGCATTTGACTTTGCCCAAGACGAGTCCAACGGCAAGCCCGCGTCATTCAAGTACCGGCCCATCTCCACCAGTTGGGGGGGCGTGGCTGTCTGGCTTCATTGCGCCATTCGCGTGTTTCCTGCGTGGTCATTTGCCCGTCGGCTGAGTTGAAGGGAGCGGCCTACCTAGTATTGTCCCCCTCTGGTCCCTCTCGTCCCTCTCCTCGAACCCCGTCCCTGTCGCAAAGTCCCCAGTCCACTTTTGCGTTGCCGCCAGCGATCTCAGGAGCGGCTCTGATTTGCACGAAGCCGCCGCCGCCGACAACTCCCTCCTCGCGCTCCCTCCGTCTCTGCGACCTCGACTTTATAGACCAGCCGGTCGCATTTCAATAGTCGGTGCTCGCCCTCTCCTGCGCCTACACCACTACCCGTTTCACGGCGCGGTAGTCTGATCCCACAGGCCCAAATCCGCATTACACACAATCGGTGACCTGGTGGAGTCGGGGTCGAGGCACAGCCGCAACACGTTGGATAAACTGGAGACGCGCTGAATCTGAAACTGCTGGGAAGCAACTCCAGCAAACACGCGCACCAGGGACAAGGCAGCTGCTACACTCTCGCTCTTTGATCGTTGTTTGCGCTACTCTTCAGCTGTAACTGTTTGTTTTGAGGCCTCACCTCTGGCCACTCCTCCATTGTACGTCCGTTCTACGTCTCCCTTCTGACCTGGACTTTGTTGATGCGGTGGTGCAATGGTTGCCACTGCCCTTCACGCTCTCAAGAGACTCAATGGACTGCCTCACTGACCGTCACCAGCGCAAGAGATCGTTTGATCTGGCCAACGATTACCAAGATATCACGAGTACCATCCGACGCTGCGTGCGCCATGCTTCACCACCATCAGCCCCGTCGATAGCTTGCCCCGACCCCTCCCAATTCACCGCTCCCGTCATCAAGCGGCGACCTCCTCTCTATCCGACCAAAAACTCGAACATGCCCCACGTCGACGTCGGCTCGGTCATGTCAACCCCGTTTCCGTCCTTCATGTCAGTGGTGGGAAAACCCGATTCAAGCCTCCTGAAGGATATGGAAGAATTGGCTGCTGCTACCGGCTCGATACCAGACAGCGACACCCAGATCTTGGTGACTGACGCAACCGCTCCGCCAGAGGCCACCATTCGACGCTCTGCTCTTTCTCTTCACCACCGCGACAGCGTCACTTCGATCACCTCGACTTCCACAAACTCCTCGCCCACAAACACCAATTCCACCTTTGACTCTCCCGTCATCACCGACTCTTCCCCCGGGTCGTCCCCCGAGTCAGCGTCATCGAATGCCCCCGTCTCTCCTTTCCGGAACATTATGATCAGACCGTCAATCGAAGCACCTCGAAATCCTCCGCCGCAGAGGATACCGCCGCCCAAGGAAGAGCCACCGAGGCCTGGGTTGATCTCTGACGCTCCCAAGAATGTCAAGAATCTATCCTTGAACATGGGCGCCGTAGTCCTTTCGCGGTCCACGACGTCGCATGGATTCGAGTCTCACGCTTTCTCAGCACCCACTTCTCCCTCGAAGGACGCGCCAAAAACAGGGCGAAGGAAGCCGACGAATCTGACAATCCGGACACCTGGGTTTCAACAATCGACTTTCAATCGGGCAATGGACGTCCCCCCAACGCCCGGCTTCCGACCGACATTACACCACATGGCTTCGTCGCCAGCGCTCGCCTCAGTGGCTTCGCCGAAGAAACAACCTCCCGGCGGTCTGTTTCTCCATCTACCTGCCTCTGGCACTGTCATCTCTGGTCAAGGCTCGGATTCAAGTAGCTCGGGCCATTCTGTTAATAGTCAGCTACCCGAGCTGAGGGAGGAGGACGAAATCCACCGAGCGCAAAAGTCACAAGAAACTCAGGAGAAGGGATACCCCGAAGGGCCGGTGCTGATCTACGACACTGGAGTGTATTTGTATCTCGAACCCACCGCGGAGGAGGCAAGCAAGTTTGACACGGTCATCAATGTGGCCAAAGAAATCAAGAATCCCTTTCTGATGGACGCTCCAAAGCCAGAGATACCCGAACCCCAGACCGCCATCTCCGAACTGTCCTTCAAGTCAGCCTGGGAGTGGCCTCGACCCAGTGACCTGCCGACACCTTCCACCCCGCGACCGAGTTCATTCAGTCAAACGAAGCGGCCTGAATACTTGCATGTACCATGGGATCATAACTCGGAAATACTGGAGGATCTGTATTGTCTGTGTCGATTAATTGATGAGCGGATTCAAGAGGGCAAAAAGGTGCTCATCCACTGTCAGCTGGGCGTCAGTCGATCGGCTTCGCTGGTGATCGCATATGGTCTGTACAAGGGCTACCAGCCCGATTTCCACTCGATGTACATGGCGGTCAAACAGCGAAGTCAATGGGTCGGGCCCAACATGAGTCTGATCTATCAGTTGACGGATTTCCGGGCAAAGGTGGTCAAAGACGTCTATGGGGATCATTGCAACAATCCCAAACCGAGCTGGTGGCAGATAAGATCGTCGAGCTCTCCGGTAATGGATACGCCCATTGCCAAGCAGTCGTCCTGGCAAGCTCCGTCGGGAGCTGATGGCCAAGCGCCGGGCTCTTCCAGCGCGTTTGTCGCGCCGCCGCTTGCGAAGGCCGTGCCGCCCTTAAGACTGAATAAAGAGCTGCCTCCGGTTCCCCCTTTCCCACGAAATGAGCCGACTACGGTGGCCACACCGATCAAGCTCAGCCAGATCTTGGGAGGCATCGCGCGCCCATCCCCTGAACCAGCAAAGACTACTGGGCCGGCACTTGCCGCCGAGACTCCGAGTCCGCCTCGCACACAGAGTCCTCCACAGGGTGCATCCCCACGGCCGCTGCCGTTTCGAGAGCGCTTCGACCCCTCGCCCTCTCAATCACCGCCTAACCCCTCGAAGACTCCCCGACTCGGACTCGTGACCAGCTCACCAAAAATGGATCTAGCCATGGAGGAACCCAGCAGCCCATCGCTATTTTCACCTCGGGCGGCTGAGTTCATGGCATCGCCATTCGGGATCACGGCAGCAGGAGACCTCGCTGTGACCCAGAAACTCAAGAAGAAGCCGTCAAAAGGTGTCTTGCTCCCCCCACAGATACGACCGTCGGTCCACTTGGCGGCATCAGCGGATCCCATACCGGTTCCCTTTGACCCGCGAAGTCCCCATCAACAGGGCGAAGGACCCGAGATTTTTCGAAATATCGAAGACTTCTTGTAAAGCGAATACGCGACGCATCCATGTCAGAAAAGCGGACATCACCACAGCTTTGAATTTGGATCTAATGTCTAGGACCGAGACCCAAACGGCCATGATTGGAAGTGTTTCTTTTGTTCTGTTTTTTGCACATAGCAAGGCGTTTTCTCGGGAAAAAGCGAACTGGGGAACCAGCAGTGCCACGAATGTAATGGTCAACATGCATGAACGGGCGCCTCTCATGCTTCTAGAGACGAGGCCTAGAGGATGGACATTGGGCTTCAGTGATCTGTACATTAGTCATGACGGAAAGGGTTGCATGAATCATCTCTATGTGGGATGAGATCGACATGTGGAGAGCAGCATCACGGCGTGACTGACAGAGGACGAGGAAGTGTGGCTACTGAGCAAACACGCATTGTGTGAGTAGCGACAAATCAATAAGACGATTTGATCATGTGGCTTTGTTGTTTCCACTCTTGACTGTCCGGCCATCAATACGCAACCACAGCCTTGTCGGGGTACTACAGTGACTGCTGACGAGGCTGCGCTAGGGAAACCATGGATGCGGCCGGCTCTCATGGTATTTCACTCTGACGCCGATCTACCTGGCGGACTGCTCATGCGCCTTGAGTCTCATTCGTGACACAGGTGAAAGGACCGTTGTTTCAGACTAATCTCATGCCACTTTTCGTGTAGTCGTTGGCGCCTGAGCCACTCAAACCCGCGACCACAGCCGGAGCACATCTAAGACAAGTCGGCGCCAGATGGCGATGGAACGCACGCGCATCGCGAAGGTTGGACGGTTGCACATTACCCTCGATCCATCTCGCTGACGGTTCTCTCTACAGGTCGACGACGTGACCCTCTCGCGACGTGGGACGCAAGTCAACGGCACTCTACACCTGACACCCCACCACATCATCTTTGTGCATGCCCCTCCTCCTGCCCCCGACGGGAGTCGAGCTCGACCACGCGAGACTTGGATCACCTACCCCATCATCCACTTCTGCACCTTCCGACCGAGTCCTACCGCCTCGAGGCAACCCTCGTCTATCCGGCTGCGCTGTCGCGACTTCAACTTCTACTGCTTCTACTTCAACGACGATCGGAAAGCAAGGGACGTCTACGACAGCGTCAAGGCGTGGACATGCAAGCTGAGCGGGATTGAGAAACTCTATGCCTTCTCATATCACCCGACGGGACCCGAGAAAGATGTCCAGGGTCAAGGCTGGGCACTTTATGACCCGATGCGTGAGTGGAGACGGATGGGCCTGGGGGACGAGAAGAGACAAACAAACTGGAGGATTTCCACCATCAACAAGGACTACCAGTTTTCCCCGACGTACCCTGCGGTCCTGGCCGTTCCGGCGAATATCTCAGATAACACCTTGAACTATGCCGGGCGTTACAGATCGAGAGCACGGATACCCGTCCTAACATATCTTCACCCGGTCAATGACTGCACCATCACTCGTTCGTCACAGCCACTCGTTGGTGTGAGAGGGAACAGGAGCATCCAAGATGAAAAGCTGGTAGCTGCAATCTTCAACACCACGAGGGCGGAGAGGCCACTGTCGGTGTACAGCTCTCCTCCGCCCGAGCGCGAGGAGTCGGGGTCAAGCAAAGACACCAGTTGCTCGGTGGTCTTGGACGAGCAGATTTCGCAGGCAGACGCTGAAGCGGTCGAGGACGCCATCATCTCGCGCTTTCGTGGTGATGACGATGCACCCGAAGGCTCAGATGACAAAAGACCGATGGTATACGGCGCTCAACAACGGAACATGATCGTCGACGCACGCCCCACCATCAACGCGCTGGTGATGCAGACCCAAGGCATGGGATCGGAGGATATGAGCAACTACAAGTTCGCCACCAAGGCGTACCTGGGAATCGACAACATTCATGTCATGCGGGACAGCCTACAGAAAGTGATAGATGCTCTGAAGGATTCCGACCTCACTCCGCTGGGGCCTAATCAGGAGTTACTGCAGAAAAGCAACTGGTTGAAGCACATCGGCCTCATTCTGGATGGATCGGCCCTGATTGCTCGCCAAGTCGGGCTCCAGCACAGCCATGTGCTCATTCATTGCAGTGACGGATGGGATAGGACGAGTCAACTGTCCTCAATCAGCCAAATATGCTTGGACCCGTATTACCGCACGCTCGAGGGGTTCATGGTCCTCGTGGAGAAGGATTGGCTCAGCTTTGGACACATGTTCAAGCACCGATCTGGATTCCTAAGCTCGGAGAAGTGGTTTCAGATCGAGAACGAGCGAATCGGCCGAGGGAGTGATGATGTTGACGACAGGGACCAGAAGAGTGGAGCGATGGCCACGTTCGAGAACGCCTTCCTGAGCGCAAAAGGATTCTTCTCGAACAGCAAGAACAACGACTCCCGGGAGTCAATCAACGTCGACTCTGACGCCGACGCTGGTGCTGCAGCAAACTACGACTCAGAGTCCCAAGTCGCTCGGCGAATCGTTTCCGGCGCCCACAAAAAGGAAAAGGACAAGGTCGTCACGAAAGTGAAAGAGACGTCTCCGGTCTTCCACCAGTTCCTCGACGCCACATATCAGCTCCTGTACCAGTACCCGACGCGCTTCGAGTTTACTGAGCGGTTTCTCCGCCGCCTCCTCTATCACCTCTATTCCTGCCAATATGGCACATTCCTGGGCGACAACGAACGCGAACGCAAAGAGCTACGCCTGGCCGAGCGCACGAGGAGTGTATGGGACTACTTCCTCGCCCGAAAAGAGGAATTCCTCAACCCCAAATATGACCCTACGATCGATGACAACGTACGAGGTAAGGAGAGGCTCATGTTCCCCAAGCCGGACGAGGTCCGCTGGTGGAACGAACTGTTCGCACGGACAGACGAAGAAATGAATGTGAAGACCCAGCCTGTCGCGGCAACTCGGCCTAACGGTACAAGCGACGCTGAAGGTTCGGAGCTGTGGACTTCTGTTCCTGCATCACAAGCTGGATACTCGTCTTCGGCCAGTGCGCCTGTTTCCAGGGCTAGGACACCTGTGCTGGTAGGCGTGGAGACGAGTGAAGCGACTGTTGACTTGGCAACCTCTCCTCGTGCGCAGAATGAGGACGCCCACGGTTCCAAGCTGCCCGGTCTTGGGATCGACAAGACAAGTTCCGCAGCGCGTTCGAGGAGCCCGTCGTCCATGTCACAGCAACAGCATTCGCGATCGCGAACGCCCATCGCAGGCTCCCCGTCCAAACCAGCCGAGTCCGGGGATGCAGTCTCGCGCACGGACCACGTCCTCTCCGGACAACCCAACGAGCCAAGCCCTGAAAGAATAATGAGCGACCGCCTCCGAGCCATTAAGGATGATTCCCAGGCCGGTACCGCCAACGTTCTCTCAACTTCCGACCAGTCGACAGTCATGATCCATCATTTCCCGCAAGAAGCCGAGGCCAAGAGTGCGCCGCTGCCAGGGAGCCCTTCCTTGTTGCCAGGTCAAGAAGACCAAATTGAACGTGCGATCGATGCAGATCAAAGTGCCGCGGAAATCACGACACAAGAGCAGAGCACACCGACACCTGACGAGAAGGGCAATGACACGGTCGGGGCGGAGAGTGAGCCAGAGAGTAAGCCTGCCGGGGCACAGCTCGAACCCCTCGGCGTGGCAGACGATCTCGACCCGCTAGGCTTGGGCGAGGTCAAGGACATGCCGGCCGCGCAGAGCAGCCTGAGCATGCGTGCCCGTGAAAGGAGACGAGAGCAGTTGGAGCTGTTGATGAAATGAGCGTCATTTCTCAGTCCGCTGCATGCCCGACTGTATTGCTCAGGTACACGGATTTCCTACCGACTGTATTGCTTGGGTACACGGATTTTTTCCTACCGAGCAGAAAGAACGGATGTGATGTCAAGGCAGTCAAGTTACAGTAGGACCCGTCGGGCGAGGTCCGCTCACGTTTCATGTAACGGGATCCGAGACGCGCACTCACTCACTCACTTACTCGTGATCGCCATCAATAGTATGTCTGGCGTGGTGGAGGATGAGGATGATGACACAAGAAGAAAGAACGGATGTGCTGTTAGGCCACGTCAAGTTAGGACCGGGCATTCAGGTCCGCTCGCATTTCCTGTAACGCGATCCGATGGAGCGCCCTCCCTCCCTCCCTCCCTCGTGATCGCCATCAATAGTATGTCTGGCGTATTGGAGGACGAGAACGAGGATGCGGACGAGGATGAGGATGAGAATGAGCAACTGGCGATCAGACGTGACGAGACGAGACGAGACGAGCATTTTCGCTACACAGTACTCCGTACTCCGTGCTGTAGCTAGGTCGGTCCCACATTGAACGGACTACCTCGACTACGTCGACTACCTACTCATACTCATACTACACAAGTATGGACAAGTTATGTTAGCCGTGTCGTAACGTAGTCACTATGGCGTTGTTCGTTCGTAAGGTGCATTGCGCGGGCTGATGGATAGTTGGACAGTTAGTACTTGGACACATGGACACATGAGCACATAGACACTTGAGCACATGAAGACTTGAGTACTTGGGTACTTGGACACACGGACACACGGACACACAGACACACAGACATAGAGGGGCGTATACTCCGTACATACACATACCGCATACACGCATGCACGCGCAGAGGCTGGTTACCTAGGTACCATATATCGAGTGAATACTGTACGGAGTACACAGTAGTGCTCAATGCATACGGAGGAGGACTCGGTCTTCGAAGGTCAAGCTCTCGACAGATGCGACAGATGAATGCATAAATGAATGAATAACTGAACAACTGACTGACTGACTGACTGACTGACGGATTGACCAGACTTACTTGAGTTGAGAATGGTAATGATAATGATAGTGAACTTGACGAGTCCGAGTCTGTGTTCGATTCTATGTCCATGTCCCGACTTCTTATCCGTGTACCACACACATACACACACAAGAGGGAGAGAGAGAGAGAGAGAAAGAAAGAGAGGGAGGGTACACGGTAGATAGATACATGCGTTGTAGTGCAGTGTAATGTGGTGTGGTGTGGTAACAGTAAGTCATGTATACGTAGGCACTGCGAACTGTCTGTATCTGTATATATATTATACAGAGTAAAATGTGCGTATATACGAACGTCGATATTGAGGTACGCCAATACTGTCGAAGAATTGGTGGAATTGTCTCTGTAGTGAAGTCCGCTTGGCGTGACAGCTCGGATTTTTACTTCTCTCTCACTCACTCACACTTATCAATTCCACTCCGTCAAAGGCGGAAGCTCGCCGAGACAGGGAGAAAGAAGGGAGCTGGGTTTCTAATCGGTAACATCTACTCCGTAACATCTACCCCGTCACATGTGGGAAACTTCTTGATTTCTACAATCTTAGGATTGCCGTGTCATGTCATTCTGCCATGTCCTTGCAAGTGAAGGTAAGCTAAGCTAAACGATGCCATGCGATGTTATTCATGTCTGTCGGCATGGCTTGCACATGTGCAAGAATGTGATGTCCCTTCTTCTGTCTCGTCATCTGCTAACCCCCTGTCGTCGTAATTCGAGGTATGAACGTCAATGTTGTGAAGCTGGTATCCCTCCGCCTGGCTTTCAACCCCATGTCATGTTCATCGTCGACTTTTCCCCAATCTGACGCCGTTGGAACGCCCCAGCGAGAAACGATAAAGCCATACACAAATCAAGGGCTGAACTGAAGATGGACGAGAGGTTGCCTGGCCTCGACACTTCGAGTGACAACGCACTGGCCGCTGACCCTTTCAGTTGAAGTAGCGATACTGGACCGGCACCTCAATGACATGTCGATAGGGATGAACTGCCGTCTAAGCGCTCTCCTCGACGTGTCTCAAGACCGGGTACAGCTGCTCCGCATCCGTGGTCTTCTCCTTGTGGTCATCGGTGCCGCCCATCTCGGTATCATCTTGCTCACCGACATCCTTCTTCGTAACATCCTTGACCGGCTCTGGCGTGGCACCGTCATAGTCGCCACTCTCCAACTTCTTCTTGATGAACTCGCGCATCCATTCGATGAGCCGCATGTTCTGGACCCACATCTCAGTCTGGTCTGGTGGGCTGTCCTTGGATTCGCGCGGGGTGTCAGCAGTATCAAGAGCAGGGTCGATAACGCTGCTGACGGGAGAATCTCTCTTCTTGCCCTTGGACTCCTTACTGATGCCAGACGCGGGAGGCGTGACGGAACCATCGCTGGCCATGTCCATATCATCTCTACCCTTGCCGGGAGCGGCGCGCTGGAGACGGCCTCCCTCCCACCGACGACGATCTTCGTCGTACAGGCCACTGAGGGTCGCAGCGTTGGCTGCCGCGTAGGCCATGTCGCTAGCCGAGGCTGGCAGAGTGGGGTACATTGCAGAGCTGGTTGGAGCGGCATGGCCCGGTAGAGGACTTTGGCCCGACGTATAGCTCTGGGCGGACGAGGGTGGGGTGAGTCCCGGAGTGCTGGCGTCAGTGTTGCTGGCGATGCTCTCTTGATGGCCGTGTTGCAGCAACGAGGTAGCGTTCGCGTGAGCTGCGGCAGGTCCATGATGAGAAGTGCTCGGTGGGCTATTGCTGGCTCGGGCGTAAGTGACATAGCCAGCGCCAGCGGGGGCGACACCGGCGGTGAGATGCGCATCCTGCTCATAAATGGTTGCTTGCATCTGCTCCAGAATCTGGTCGATCGACGTCAAGTCTTCTCGGGTCTTTGCGTTGCCCATCGGTGGGAGGCTGTAGGCTTGAATGGGATCTTCCTGGCCGTAGGCGCCGCCAACCGTGACGGGTTGATAGGCAGGGGTCGGGACAGCAGCTGGGATGATCTGAGGCAGCTGGAGACCTTGCAGCTCAAAGAGACGGCGGCTGACGTTGTGGAAGTTGATGGGGTCGACTTCGCGACGTCGAACTTGGCCGAAGAAATGATCGAGCGCATCAAAGCCACGCTTGCGAGCCTCGAAGTCATAACTGGCGGTGGGGGGAGCAGTGCTGTAGTAAGTCACTGGACCATAGCCTGGGTGTCCTCCTGTCTGTGATGAATCAGTCATGTGTTCAGCGGATCGTAAGTTGGGGACTACTCACCGGAACTTGCGGATGAGGTTGGTAATATTGGTTAGGGTGCTGCTGGGCGGCGTAGTCGTGAGGACCTGGCATCGCCGGCGCATAGTAGTTTTGAGGAACTTGTCCCGTCAGACTGCGACCATAGTATGAGGCGTTGTAGTGCCCACCTTGTCCCATGCCGTTCTGGACCGAACGCTGGCCGCCACCTGGCTCAAGGTTGGGCGAGCGCATGATGACGCTGTCATCAGCATGAGTCTTGACATGTTTCTTGAGATCCTGGGGGCGCTTGAAGGCCTTGCCGCAGAACTCGCATTTGTGAGGCTTCAACGGCACATGGACTCGGATGTGAGAGGTGATGTGGTCGCGCTTGACCGTGGTGGTGCGGCACTGGCCCCAGGCGCAGGTCAAGTTGAGGTTGTTCGTCGACTTGCGACCAACATGACGCTCGCAGACATGTTCCTGAGGATATCATGTTAGACGAGTTCCCATGGTCTGAACGACAGCGTGAACTCACGTAGAGGGCTTCAGCGGTGGGGCAGCGCTCGCCGCATCCTTGCCACTGACACTGCAAGTTCTCACCTGCTGAGTTGACGTTCGGGGCAGGATTCGAAGCCAGCGGCGCCTGCAGTTGGCCTTGTAGCTGGGCAGCGTCCTGCGTCGCCGCGGTATTGGGAGTCGTCGAGTTGTTCTCTGACATCGTTGCGGCGGAAGAGATGCAGATGCTGGCGCCAAGCTTGCCGTCGAGAAAGCCAAGAAAACGACGTCTTCGACTTTCGAGCGCGACTTGGAAAATCCGCGAAGTGTTGTCTTTCCCGCAGTGCGCCTCACCCAGAGCAGGAGGTTACGCGAGAGGCAACTGCGCTGGTGGTGAAGTGAAGAGGAAGTGAGGGCACAGTGAATGAAAGGCCACCAGATTCCGGGAGACGGGAAAAGAGGGAAGTTTTTGCACGAGCACCAGCGAAGGTAGCCGGGGAGGCTATGTAAGTTATGCCAGAGGATAAGTCTCGTCCCGGCGGCCACTGACTCGAGCGGCGGCTAGGATGACGATGTGGGCGACGATTCACCGGGAAATAGCTTTATCTACAAGGGAAAGAGCTACAGAGTGCTTGGTCGGGGAGAAATATAGGGTGATGAGGGGGGAGCCACTCATCGAAACGGACGCTCTGTCAGAGAGAGGCAGGCGCGCGAAAGGGCGGGAGCTGAACTGGTCCATCGAGACACTCATCACGGACCAGAGGGGAAGAACCCATTTGGCTTTCGCACTGGCACGCACCCGTGGCACTGAGAGGAAGGGAGGCGTTCGCCGATTCAACTGAGGCAGGAGCAACGCCCAGCCGCTAAAACGTGCCAAGTGCAATCTACGCATTCTAGCCAATGCGCAGCGCGAGCTGGTGCATCTGGGTGGGGAATTACTGCTTCAGCGCGCCGGCTAGGGCGCAACTCTGGGCGGCCTTCAACCCTCCAGGGCCCGGGTCTCTCGAGTCGGCTGTCAGCGTGATACGCAGCTCGCAAAGACCGTGGTCTGCTCTGGATTCCGGGAAGATCCTGCGACACACCTGTCCAAGGCACGCGCTGCGGGTGCTGCGGCCTGCACATTTGTCGAGCGGCTGACCCAGCAGTGAGTTTGATCTCAGCGTGGCGACGTGTGAGCGGAGGAGGCCTGGTCAATCTCCTCGTGGTCTTGGTCTTTCTTGGGTCGAGAGGAGTTCTTGGACGGCGGGACGA